CCGATCACTCAGTAGCTCGTGGGCACTCACAACTATTACTGTTCCAAGGCAAGTGCCCAATTCCAATTTTGCAGATGAAGAAACTGAGGCCCAAGGTCACACAACAAGGGGATGGCTGAGCCATTGGGGAGCCAGGGGACTGAGAGCACTGGCCCCTCAGGATGAGCCTGTTGAACCCGGGAGACCAGGGCTCTGCAGAGCACCACACAGGCCTGCCACATGAGAGACCTTCATGTGAAGGCCAGCAGGCCCCTGGCCCACTGTCGGTGCCCTGACCTCAGTACCCTCACCTGTCATCAAGGTGACAGGCCCCACCTTGCAGGGTCAGGGAAGGAGGGCTGTGCCAGCACCAGCGGGAGTGAGGCTGCCTGCCCAGCGCTGCCTCCTTCCTGGCAGAGCTGCTCCTGGCTCTCCTCAAACTCTCAATTAAGATGCAAACACCGTTGGGTAGGAAGCCTTTGGAGAAAATGGAGCTGACACCTGGGATTATGTTATCAGATCGCTCCCCACCTGGCAGGCGACAGGGCCCTGGGCCTGGGCTGGGAACTGCTGGAATGGGCAGGAGGCAACTCCCTGCTTCGTGGCATGAGCCTGGGCCTGGCCCGGCTGCTGCTCTGTCTGGGCTCCTGCTGCACCTGGGAACAGCGCAGTGGGCCCTAGGAACATAGGGACCACTATGTCCTTGTGGCCCCTGGAGACGCTGAAGCTATCCTGGTGCCACCAAGCTCTGGGGAAACGAGAGCCCTCCCTCGTGCTCCAGAGGGAGCTGCAGGGGTCTCAGGTCCGGTGGCCGTGTTCTCCTGGCCCAGTGCGGTCATACTTCTACCCACCCCACCCCCCCACCCCAGGGAGATCCCGGTGTTTGCAAGCCTGAGGGGGACAAGGAGCCTCATGAAAGGGCTTTTACTGTCCTGAGTCAGGCTGGAGCCAGCAGCAGGGCGCCAGTGCTCCCATTAGGGGCAGGGCTCCGAGTACAGCCAAGATGCTGCTTCCCCTGGGACACGGGGCTCCGAGCCCGAAGACCGGGGTTCTGGGCACAGCTCTTCCAGAACACCTGCGCTCTCTGAGCCTCGGGCTCGTCGTCAGCACCGAGGAGCCAACACCTCCTTGATGGAGTCGCTGGGAGGGTCAGAGCGCAGCCAAAGTGCCCGCTCAGCACCTGGCATACAGCTGGCACTTAATGAACGCCTCATTAAGCTGCTTTTATTCTCCGTGAGCCGAGCCGTGAGCCAGCGCTTCAGCGTGTGAAGGCAGGGGGCTGACAGAAAAGACTGCAGGGTTAATCAGGCAGCATGAAACCCGGTTCCAGTCTCTTCCTGCTGTGTAGCCCTAGGCGAGAAACTGAACTTCTCTGGGTGTCTGTTCCCAAGCCCTGGCCTGGCAGGCCCGAGGAGTGGGTTCTAGTCCAGCCTTCCACACTCGTTCTCCCTCGTGCTCCCTCAGTGTTTACAGGGCTCAGCCCTGCCCCTGGGGTCTTCTCCGGACCGCCTCGGGTGGGATCCCCTGCACCCACATCGTGAAGGGGGAGCACTCCCTCCTCAGCCCCCCTCCGGGACCCAGCCCAGCCTCACCCCTCTCTCAGAGGCTGTAGTGGAGCGAGGCTGGGGCTCATCCCTCCTGGGCATGATGCTACAGGCCCGGCCTCTGGTATGCAGCTGGAACCCCGAAGCAGGTTTTTTCCCCAGGTAAATCACTGGTACTGGGGGTGGGGGGTAGGGGAGGGGCAGGCAAATGACCTTCCATCTCAGAGTCTGGGGCCGGAAGACACCTCACAGAGCACAAGCTGCCTACGTGGGACTGGTATGGTTAGACCCAGGCCCCTCTGCTCTCTCGTCCCAGCAGTGTCCAGAATCGCAGGGCAACAGGGCGCCAGAGCTGAAGGGACCCTCAGCAGTCTTTAAGGTCTGTACCCATTGTACAGATGAAACGAATGAGGCTCAGAGGAGAGCCGGGGCTTGTCCCGGGTCCCACAGCGGTGGGATCACGGCCCACTAGTTTTGTTCTAGCCTCTGGGGGAAGCAGGGAGTTCAGAAGCCCTGCTGGGAACACAGCCACTCCCCAGTGGCCCGCTGGGGCGGGCTGAGTGTGTGCTGCGTCACTTCCCTGCCCCAGGGTCTGCCTGCCCTGCTGACAGGCCAGGCTGGGGAGGTGGCGGGCTGGGTCGCCCTGAGTCAGCACCAGCAGCCCCAGCCCAGGTGTCCTGCTGGGCAGGGGGTCAGCATGGGGCCAGGCGGCAGGACAGTGGGCTCCCCATCTCAGGGCTGGGGAGGGGGAGGGTTCTCCCCACATTGCTGTTGTGGGGGGCGTGCAGATGAAGATGCGGGGGCGAAGGGAAAGAGGTGATTCATGGGGAGAGATAAGGCAGGGAGAGCTCCCAGTGGCGGTGGCGGTGGTGGCGGTGGTGGCGGGCGGGCCACGCAAAGCACCTCGTCAGCATCCGTCAGCATCCGTCAGCGGCACAGCCCAGCGCTGGAGCCTGGGAAGCAGCAGGAGCGGGCAGACGGGAGGGTTGCAAGTGGCACGGGTGAGCTGCCCCTCCCTGCCCTGCCTGTCACTGTGCTCTGTCGAGGCCAGGATGGGCAGGGGACCCATCCTGGAGTCTGAGGACAACACAGGCCTGTCCCCACCCTCCACCCAAAAACTAGCTAAGTGACAATGGCAGGGACTAACCAGTTGGGTCTCAGTTTCTACATCTGAAAAATGGGCAGATCCGACTACCTGAAATTATAAAGTGCCTCGCACTCAAAAACCGGGAGCTATAGTCATTACTGCCCGCCCACACACACGGCATGCTGGCCTCAGGTCCCTGGATGGATGGGACTGGGAAGCACAAAGGATGGAAAGCAGAGGCATGGCTCCCCATGGTGCTGTGGGGTATGAACAAGTCCCTACCCTCCCTGCGTCCGTGCTCTCATCTGGAAGACCCCAGACCCTCCTGCTTGGTCTGGGAGGCTCTCTGCTGTTGGAGAGCAGCGGACAGTCTCAGCAGTGGGGCCCCATTCTCAGTGGGACCAGCCGATGGTGGTACCCCACAGACCATGGTTCAAACCCAAGGTGGACATCCCCCTGGCCATATCACCTTAGAGAGGTGATGCCAATAACCTGGTGGGGCTTTCATGGGGAGCAAATGAAGTTACGGGGGCTTGTGGGCCTGCGTGGGGTGGCTGGGTCTCAGCCCTGGCCATGGGAATGTGAGGAGAAGGCCCTGGTGCCCAGCCTGGCCCCAGGTGCTCCTATCGGGCCCCATCACTGAGCCAGGCCATCAGTCTTCCTGTCTGGGGGAGATTAGACTCTGGCTGTTGTTCCCATGCCAAGCACAGATCTGGTGTCTGCTTCCTTTCTACTCCCAGTGGGGAAGAGAGGTGTGGTGGAGAGGGAGCCCTGGCACAGCAGGTCAAGCCCCACCCTGGGCCTCAGTTTCCCCATTTTTAAAAAGGGGTCCATGGGATCCCAACAGGCCCTTCCAGAGGACTGGGTTCCACAGTCTCAAGTCAGGCACAAGGTCAGCAGCACCTGCCTACCCCAAGGCAGGTGTGGGGCAGGTTATTCAGCCCAAGAGCTCTGAAGGCCCCATCCCCCTCCCCCTTTCCCTCCTCTTCCTGCAACTCTTCCTCACTCCCGTCACCTGATTCCATCTTCACAACAGCCAAAGACGTAGCTTCCATCCTCGCCACCTCCACTTTACACACCCGAAACCCGAAGCCTCAAAGCTGCCTGGGATCAGGCTGAGAGCCAGGCTCTGAGACACAGGCTATCTGACTCCGCCAGCCCCCTTGGGGAACAGGGACTCTACCTTTCTAGAAACCTAACCCATGGCCACCTTGTCAGCTCCTGACCCAGTTCTGGTTTCTCTGAACCAAGAGCTTGCCCAGGCTCTATCAGCCCGGATGGTCCCCAAAACCAGCGTTTTGGGCTTGTGCGATTTGCTGGCCCGCTCTGGGCCTGGTGAAGGAAGGATTAGACTCTGCTAGAAATAACTTCACCAGAACACACATTGCTAATCGCTCACCATCCTCTACGGAGCTCAGACCTGGCCTCAGAATCTTTCTCAACACAGCTCTCCTGGGCAGGCTTTATCAAACATTTCGGGATGTGCTTTGAAACCACGAAAAAGGACAGCTCATGGCCCGGCTCTACAAGTGGTGAGCAGCCCTTCTCGGGATGTGTGTCAGTGTGTCAGCTGAGAATGACTTCCCACACCAGGGATACCACACATCGAGGCAGGGATCGAGAAGAAGCAATGCTCCAGGTCCCTCCACTGGCAAAATTCAACCCCGGTAGATAACTCTCAGCTGACTTCGCTCTGCTTCCACCCAGGGACCATCCCCAGCCCCAACCTCCCAGCCTGGAAAGATCCTGCCATTGGAAAAGCTCACAGAGAGGCTCAGAGAGGGTGAGCAAGTCACTCTCAGTTGCCCAGCACAGCCAGGAAAAAGACACCTTTGAACTCGACCTCCAGGCCAGCCTCAGATGGACCCAAGCCACTTTTTTGCCTCCGTAACTCCTGCACCACTTCAGACTGTCTCCACCACCCGGGAAAGAGCAACAGCAGAGGTTCACGGTGTGTGTGAGAGCTTCCTACTTCTCAGGTGTGAATCAGAGCCATCTCAACGGACACTGAGAGAAAAGCCCGAGATCCCTCCCTGCCCCACCCCATCACAGCACTTTCTTCTGAGGAACCTGCTTCCCAGGTCTGGGGAAATCAGAACTTGAACACCCCCCCCCAAATAATGTACAAAGGCCCTTTGAGATGAGGCAGCCCACCATCACCTGCCAGAAGACCTGGGCACCCTAACCCCGTGCAGAGAAACTGAGGACCCCAAGAGAGCAAGGGGGAAGGCAGCCAGGGAGGCAGCCAAGGGAACCACAGAGGACAGTGTTGGGGTTTCCGAATCGGTGCTGTGAGTGAGCAGACACCGCGGTGACAGAGATGCTGGGGGCCGGCTCAGGCCCCTGGGCCAGCTCTCCGTCCGGGGACCCCCTCCCAGCAGCTGGCTCACCTTCTGGGCCTGGCTGATCATCTTCCGCACCACCTCCTTGATGTGAGCCTGCCCATCGATGGGGGGCTGCATGTAGACACTGGCCCGGGTGACCCCACGGTAGGCAATGGTGTCGGGCCAGCCCAGGTCCAGCTGTGGGATGGATCGGTCGGACTTCTGGGGCCAGTACTCCAGAGAGGGCGGCGGCTCAGCCTGGGTGGCGTCCCCACCTGCCCTGCTGGCCTCCTCGCTGTCACCAACGCCATCGTCCTCAGGGCCCCGCGACGGGACGTCGCCCCTCAGGTCCTCAGAGCCTGGGTCGTACACCTCAATGGTCTCCAGGATGCGCTTGAGTTCCAGCTCCGATAGGAAATCCCGAATGTTCTCCCGCTTGAGCACCTCGTAGAAAGCCTCCCTGCCGCGCGCCACCAGGGCCTCCAGGGCCAGCCGCTGCTCCTCGCTGTAGAAGAACTCGGGCTTGGACTCACTGGAGCGCCAGTTGACGTGGCTGTCGTCCAGACACTGCACCTGGGAGAAGGCCATGTTGCCACTGCCCCGACGCCTGTGCCTGTGCCTGTGCCTGGGCCGGGTGGGGGGGCGGCAGGGCGCTCCGCAAGGTCAGGCTCCCGACTCCCCGACTCCGGCGCGGCGCTCGCTGGGCTCCAGCAGCGGCCTGGCAGCTCTGCCCATAGGGAGCCTGCGGGAGAGCCCAAGTGAACGCAGAGGTCAGGTCAGGGTGCAGGCGGGACCGGGGAGGGGCGACAGGGCGACAGGGCGGGGGTGGGGTGGCAGTGGGCGAGACGGCGGGGCGGGACCCACGCCTGGGCGCGGTGCGCCTCTATCAGTAGGGGCCGAGGGACCCACGTCCCAGAGGGGCTGTGGAGCTGCCTAAAAAGTCCCAGGCAACGTCTGGGAGGAACCAGGGCAGGCGGGAAACTTCCCAGAAGTTTCCAAGAGGGGGAGGCCGGGACAACACGGGTGGCCTTTGGCCCGGCTCAGCGGCGCCCCGCATTCCGACGGCTTCGCGGAAGGGAGCGGGGTCTTAAAATCTGCGGGGGCCACGGCCGCAACCCGGGGGGCCTGCCGGGAGGAGGGAGGCTCGGGGCGGCGCCGCCCTGGGGGCCCGGGATCCGGGGCCGCGGGCCGGGACTCGCTTACCGGGCGGGCGCGGGGCAGAGCCGGCAAGGAGGGGCGCGCGCGGGCGGAGCGGTGCGCACCGGCGGCGGCGGCCGGGTGACTAATGCGCCCCGCCCCCCCGCCGCCGCCGCCGCCGCCGCCACCTGCGGTCACGTGCCGCCCCGGGGGCGGGGCCGGAAGCTGATTCACCGCCCCCATCCCCCCCCCAACCCGAGGGACACCGGCGGCCGGGGCGGTCGTGCGCCCCTTGTACCCCCCGCTGCTTCCCACCCCGGGCGGCCGGATTCTGGGAAGCTCAGGGGCCAGAGCCCGAGAGCTCCGGGAACTCCGCAGCCTGGAGAGGGACGGCGTTCTTACTGGGAACACAGCGTCGACAACCTTTGCACTGCCCCTGGGGCCTGTTGGTAACCCGGGTCCAACCCTGCCAGTGTCCAGCTTCCCAGGTGGGACGGCAAGTCTGCGCAGATAGCCAGCTGTCCAGTTGTTGGAGGAGAGTTAGGGTACTAGACTGGGAGGCCCCAAGGCAAGGGTAGGGCACCAACGGGGCAACTAAACTCCGGAAGGAGCCTTGTACAGAGCCTGGTGTGCAGAGAGCAGATGGATACCCAGCCCTTAGTCCCTAGCGCTTCTCCCTGCTGGGAGGGGTACCCCCCCAGGACTGGTCCGGTATGATGAGCAGCGCCCACCTGGACCCTGGGATGAAAAGAGCCTTCAGGGATCCCTGGGTGGCGCAGCGGTTTGGCGCCTGCCTTTGGCTCAGGGCGCGATCCTGGAGACGCGGGATCGAATCCCACGTCGGGCTCCCGGTGCATGGAGCCTGCTTCTCCCTCTGCCTATGTCTCTGCCTCTCTCTCTCTGTGTGTGCCTATCATAAATTAAATAAAATAAAATAAAAAAAAATTATTGAAAAGAGCCTTCAGAGAGCACTGGAGTCAGGCTGGCGTCAGGCCCCACCTGGTTGGGAGGTGCGGGAGTGCCAACTAAATCTAAAAGCAGGTTGCTAGGGCAGGGACAACAAAGCGCATTAAACCTGACCCGATAAACAGCCCCTATCCCATTGTGTGCCACAGCTAGCTGGCCAGGTACTTGGCCCAGCCCTCCCCCTCTTCCCCCACCATTTGCCCTGGATCTGGACAGGGCCGCTGCAGCTTGGGTGGCAGTTGGAGCCCTGAGGACACTGCTCTGTGTTGCTGAAGGTTGGCTGGTGATGTCTCTAGACCTGGGCCCAGAACGCACCACTGTCTATCCACAGGCCCTGAGCAGTGTCTGTGGTTTCCATCACTGACCCCTCAAGACTCAAGTCCTTTTTTTTTTCTTTTTTTTTAATTTTTATTTATTTATGATAGTCATACAGAGAGAGAGAGAGAGGCAGAGACACAGGCAGAGGGAGAAGCAGGCTCCATGCACCGGGAGTCTGACGTGGGACTTGATCCCGGGTCTCCAGGATCACACCCTGGGCCAAAGGCAGGCGCTAAACTGCTGCGCCACCCAGGGATCCCCTCAAGCCTCACATCCTATACTCCCTACCCTGCGGCCCCCCACTGCAGCCCCAGCACACTGTGTCTGGACATAGTGACCCCAGAAGCCAGGCCCCTGCCCAAGCGTCTCTGGACCTCAGCTTCTCCTTTTGCTCTTATGACTGCACAGAGGTCCAGGGGATCATGATGGGAATCTTGGCTTTCCCGGCTGAGAGGCATACAGCCTTTCATTCAACCTTACAGTTCCCTGCCCATGTTTACAGATGCACAGGAAGTTAACAACAACAACAACAACAACAACAGCAAAACACCAACGGAGGCCACAGGCAGCCTTTACCCAGTTTCTCCCAGCAGTATCATCTTGTAGAACTGTAGTCCAATAATACTATAGCCAGAAAATTGATGTCAGTGTGATCTAGGACTTTTTCAGATTTCACCAGCTTACCTGCATTCATTGTGTGTGTGTGGATGCAATCTTACCGCACATGTAGATTTGTGTGGCCACCACTGCAACTGGGATGCAGAACTATTCCACCATTACTGAGACCTCCCTCTCTACGACCATTCCCACATCTCCATCCCTAACCCCTGGCAACTACTATATCTGTTCTCTATCTCTACAATTTTTTTTTATTTCAACACTGTTACATAAATGGAAGATACAGTATATAACCTTTGGGGATTAGCTTTTTCTGGCAAGGTCATCCAGGCTGTTGTGTGTATCTTGTAGCTTGTTCATTTCTGTTGCTGGCTAATATTCATGGCATGGATGGATCAGAGTTTGTTCAACCATTTCTCCTGTTCAAGGACAATGGGTTGTTTCCAGTTTGGGGGCTATTATGAATTAAGCTGCTATGAACATTCATATACATATTCATTTGTATATATATTGTATCATGTATATTTTACATACCTATAACATACGAGTGATCCAATTTCTCCACATCCTTGCCAACATTTTATGTTGTCACAGTTTTTTTTATTTTAATTTACTTTTTTATTTTAGTTGATAAGGATGTGATAATAATATCTTACTATGCTGTTAGTTTTCAACTTCTTGATGACTAATGATATAGAACATATTCTCATGTGCTTATTTGCCAGCTGTCTGTCCTCTTCAGTGAAATGCCTGTTCATGTGTTTTGCCCATTTTCAAAGTGCATTGTTTGGTGTTTACTGTTAAGTGTTGAGAGCTCTTTATATATTCTTTTTCTTTTAAGAGAAATAGAGAGTGAGTGAGAGTGTGAGCAGGATGAGGGGGAGGAGCAGAGGGAGAGGGAGATAATCTCAGGCAGGCTTCACACCCAGCACGGAGCCCAACATGGGGATCTATCCCATGACCCCAAAACCATGACTTGAACCAAAACCAAGAGTCAGATGCCTAACCAACTGAGCCACCCAGGGCATTCCTGCTCTTTATATATTCTGAAAACAAGGTCTTTGTTAGGTCTGTGATCTGCACATATTTTCTGCTGGTCTGTAACTTTTTGTTTTTTAAGGGTAGAACACTATTATTAACTATAATCACTATGCTGTATATTGAATCTCCAGAATTTATTCATCTTATAATCGGAAGTTTGTACCTTTTGACTAATATCGCCCTTTTCCCCTACCCCACAGTCTCATCCTTCTATTCTCTTTTTCTATAAGTTTGGGGGTTTTTTTTGGATTCCACTTATGAGATCAAACAATATTTGTCTTTCTTTGTCTGACTTAGTTCTCTTAGCGTAATGCCCTCAAGGACCAGCAATATTGTCACAAATGGTAGGATTCTCTTCTTTCTCGGGGCTGAATAATATTTCTGTGTGTGTGTGTGTGTATGTGTGTGTGTGTGTGTATGCCATATCTTTATCTATCCATCTGTTGATGGACCCTTTAGGTTGTTTCCACATCTTGGCTATTGTGACTAATGCTTCAATGAACATGGAGTACAGATATCTCTTCAAGTTAGTGATTTCATTTCCTTAAGGTATATACCCAGAAGTAGCATTGCTGGGTCATATGGTAGTTCTATTTTTACTTTGAGAAACCGATATCAGTATCACACCCACACATACAAAAGGGTTCTCTTTTCTCTACATCCTTGCCAACACATGTGATCTCTTTTTTATGATAGCCATTCTAACAGGTGTGAGGTGATATTTCATTGTGGTTTTGGTTTGCATAGCCCCAGTGACTAGTAATGTTGAGCACCTTTTCATGTACATGTTGGTCATTTGTCTCCTTCAGAGAAATGTATATTCAGATCTTCTGCCCACTTTATAATTGGATTTTATTTGGGGGGGTTGCTGTTGAGTTGTATGAGCTATTTATATATTTTGGCTATTAACCCCTTATCAGATATACAGTTGCAAATATTTCTTCCCAATCCATAAATTGCCTTTTGCTTTTGTTGATGGTTTCCTTTGCTCTGTGGAAGCTTTTTAATCTGTTGTAATCTCATTTGTGGGTTTTTTTTTTTTTTTTTTTTTTACTTTTCCTTTTGGTGTCAAATAAAAAAAAATCATCACCATGATAATGTCAAGGAGCTTACCCTTCATGTTTTCTTCTAGGAGTTTGACATTGAAATACTTAATCCATTTTGAGTTGGTGTTTATGTATGGTTTGAGATAGTAGCCCAGTTTCATTGTTTTGCATGCAGCTGTCCTGTTTTCCCAACATCATTTATTGAAGAGACTGTCCTTTTCCCATTGTATATTATTGACTCTTGTCATTAGTTAATTGACTATACATGTGTAGGTTTATTTCTGTGGTCTCTATTGTGTTGAATTGATTTCTATGTCTGTTTTTGTGCTAATACTGTATTGTTTTGATTACTATAGCTTTGTAATATAGTTTGAAATCAGGGACATGTTGTCTTCAGTTTTTCTCTTCTTTCTTAAGATTGCTTTGGCTGTTTGGGGTGTCTTTTGTGGTTCTATACAAATTTTTAGGATTTTTTTTTCTATTTGTGTGAAAAAGGCTATTGGAATTTTGATAGGGACTGCATTGAATCTGCAGATGGCTTTCGGTGGTATGGACATTTTAACAACATGAATTCTTTGAATCCATGAACATGGTATATCTTTCCATTTATTTGTGTCATTTGCAATTTCTTTCATCAGTGTCTTATGATTTTCATTGTATAGGTCTTTCCCCTCTTTGGTTAAATTTATTTATAGGTATTTTATTATTTTTGATGCCATCACGAATGGGATTATATTCTTAATTACTTTTTCTGATGGTTCATTGTTAGTGTGTAGAAACATAACCAAACTTTGTGTATTGGCTGTGTATCCTACAACTTGACTGATTTTGTTCTGTAGCTTTTCTTTTCATTCTTTTCATAGGTGTCCTACACTGAACTTTTAATTTTGATGAGATCTACTTTATCCATTTTTTCTTTTATGGACACTGCTTTTGATGTTAAGTCTAAGAACTCTTTCCCTAGCCCTAGGTCCTGAAGATTTTCTCCTACTTTTTAGATTTTCCCCCCAAAAGTGTGATAGTTTTTACATCTTACATTTAAATCTGTGATCTATTTTGAATGAATTTTTGCGTCAGGTATGACATTGAGGTTGCAGTTGAGTTTTGGCCTCTGGATATCCTTTGAAGGACTTTAGAGGGGGGAAGAAACAGCCTCAGAGACC